TGGCCGGTTTCATCTCAACCAGAGTTTTGGTCACTAATTCTTCCTGGCCAGTCGGCCGACCATTTGATCTTCAGTATAAAGCCAGCAAATTGGACATATGTTGATAAAAGTCTGTAATAGACTGTAAGAAATGATTTTCGTGACGCTCAGGTCAATTTTCTGACCTGTATAGAAAAAAAATGACTGACGTAAAATGGATGTTGAAAATCCGATTTATGGTGTATATACTGAGTGTAGAAGATTTCCAGAGTGATTTCAGAGTGATGAATGACTGTCTTGCCTTTCTGATTCTGGTTTCGTCATCTTCATGGGTGCTGTCGCTTGTAGTTGAGAGGATTTTTTTATATTCAGATAAATGAACGAAGTGATTTCTTTCAGATTTCTTCTGTTGATAGTGATTGGCTCTGGCTGTTATCGTTGGCTGCTTATCTTCATCAACTCCGTCTTCTCTATGTTCACATGAAGTGCTGTCTTCGTAACCATTCTCTTCTATCATTTTGTTGGTTTTCGCCTGTAAGTCTTTGAGTTTTTATGTGAAATTGGACATAAATCACCTGAGAAATTCAAATCTTATTAAGTCTTCGTATCGGTCCAGCGTATTCCTCTCTTCTCCCTTCCGACAGTTCGACGACTGCATTTTAATATCTTATGCTGGAATTATAAATGTGCGATGTTGCCCAGCTCTGTCATATCACTTAATCAGCTGATCACACTTTAAACGACTAACAAATTTCTATCCACACAATTAGGACTGAGAAGTTGTATTTACCGTTATCTGCAGGTAGATTTGTGTACAGCTGAATATACCACGCCACAAAATAGGCTTGAACGTCACTTCTGAGGTATAAATGATAGTATTTCAAGATATACTGTTGATGCATATTTCTCATTTATTTCAGAACGAATCACGGTAACAACCGGGTTCCGTCCTGATTTATTCCCAAAAACGTTTTCTAGCAATACCTTAGAATAATGAAATACGTTCGAGCAAACTAATAGTGTGGTGAGAGCAGGCTGCTAGCCGATTGGTTGGCACTAATCTACGTTAAGGTCTAGGTCACTAATATGGGCCGTGAGAAAATATGAACAAGCCTGAGTCAACAACCAATCACAGCAAAGTTAACGTGGCAGAATATGATTCGCAGAGAGAACTCTATTTGTCAAGGAATCCCGAAACAACCAATCAGAAGCCTGCGTTTGTCTACCTAAACAACCAATCAGATGACTGCGCTTGTCTATAATAATGTAGTTGAAAGATGTATAAATACGTGTTGATTTTCATAATAAAACGATCTGTTGCCTGGCCCTTGTCTTCTGTTGTTACATTTGGTGTCGCTGCCTACCGACAAATGGAAAGCCTATGCCCTGCTGTTTTTGATGGAGACATATGGATCTTCGGGCAGGACTTCAAGGCTTCTGCGCAGTTGAGTGGCGTTCAAGATTTGTCAGCGATGGAGCTGCTACTTGGGACGCTGCTGGGAGGTCGGGTGAAAGCAGCATATGAAAGGGTGAGACGAAATACCGACGAATGTTCGACAGGGTCAGGCAAACAGTTTCCAAAGTGGGAAGGACCACATATGGTCACTTCGAGATGGGATTACGCGGACACAATCGCAATGACGAACAATGAGAGGCGCGTGAACGTCAGCGAGCTCCAGAAATGGATACAGCGAGACAAGCCAACGATGACGCCTGCACCAAGTAGATCAAGCCGACTTCAGTCGCACGTATTTGACGGGGGGACGAGTGTGGTGAGAGCAGGCTGCTAGCCGATTGGTTGGCACTAATCTACGTTAAGGTCTAGGTCACTAATATGGGCCGTGAGAAAATATGAACAAGCCTGAGTCAACAACCAATCACAGCAAAGTTAACGTGGCAGAATATGATTCGCAGAGAGAACTCTATTTGTCAAGGAATCCCGAAACAACCAATCAGAAGCCTGCGTTTGTCTACCTAAACAACCAATCAGATGACTGCGCTTGTCTATAATAATGTAGTTGAAAGATGTATAAATACGTGTTGATTTTCATAATAAAACGATCTGTTGCCTGGCCCTTGTCTTCTGTTGTTACAATAGTACATTTGTGCTGCCATTACATTAAAAGCAAACTTTTGTCACTTTAAAAGAATACAGATGCAAGTGAACTACCAAATGAGATTTTATATAGGTCATAAAATTGAAGCATTCACATATAAATTTGACAATCAGGATCATTCATCGCTGTTCGATATACTGCATGGATTAAAAACTCGATAAACTTAAAAGGATAGTGTGCAGAAAGTATACACAAAAATGACAAAAAGGTATACTATTACAGTTGAACTCGGCTGAATATTAAAAACGCATTCCACACTTATTATATAACTAGAAACGTTTTTCGAATAAAATGCATTGCTCATAATCATTCCGATGTATTCACACAACTTTGTATAGAGCAATTTATCAGTTTGTGTGAATAAAATGATACGATTATGGTTGCGTCAACCAGTTAGTAAAGCTGTATTACTGTGCGTTAAATCAGATAAACTTATCCGATATGGAATTATTTCCCACTACAGTACCCAAATTCTACTATTAAAATAATCGAACACTCTTGCCTATAAAAAGTATGTTCTGATGTCACGCCAGATGACAAAACCGAGAGTTTCAGAAATATATGAATATAAAACGGTTATACACATAAAGTAAGTGTGAACGAGAACTCCAGAAACGACATTACTAAAGATTTCTAGAGTACCTTACATTTGAATTTGAAGCAAATAAGAGTCTCATTTTCAGGAGTCAAGATAAATCGTTTCCAAGGAAACCTGACAACTACCATTCAGAAGGTCAGATTCTTAAATTTCTCTTATAAGAATAAAAATCTCATTTTTGACTGGACAAAAGACGTAACATCCCGTCTGTTCAAAGGTATAGATGTATTTTTACTAACTACTGTGAAAACTCTCAAATTTTCAAGTATTGGTTTTGTAAGGATTTTTGTTTGATTGCATGGAGGATTCACCATGAGCTGACATTAGTTAGAGAACCACTGGAAAACCACCTGGGAGTACTGGATAGCTGTTTCATCCTAGATTGGGACTCTTCATCAGTACACACCCACCATGATTCGAACCCAAGACTTTCTGGTTACAAGACCAGCGAGCTCGCAGACCATTGAGCCACTGGGAGCCGAACAGATTGTCCTTGAATTCTAACTTCTGCCAATTCACGGCATAGCGCAACCACTTCGCAATGTCTTCTTCGATGAGTTACTGCCTCATCTTTAACCTGCCGTACCCTACTAGTCACGGCTTCCCACCAGAACCCCAGGTCACTGCTACGTCATGAACTGGCAGAAGTTAGAGTTCAAGGACCATTAGATCAAGTCCCAGTGGCTAAATTGTCTACGAGCTTGCCTTGTAACCAGAAGGTCCTGGGTTCGAATCACGCAGTGTGGGTGCGTACTGCTGAAGAGTCCCCAAACTCTCTCAAATATCAGGGTGTATGACCCATTATGACTAAAGTGAAAACAATGATACACAGCATATAAGTACTTCAATGTCATTTTGTTATCAATACAAATAACATAGTGAAACAGTACCCAATGCATGCAAAAGTATATAAGTGGAAACGAGTGAGGCAGCACAATTCAGTTAACATAAATGTGTATTCGTAAACGGTTTATCAGACGTCTGGCTGATTATTGTATCGCGTTCATACTTGTTTCAAACAACAAAGTAATTTTCACAAAAATCCTGGTGTCACATTTATATGTAAAGAAAACAACTGATTCAAAATACCACTAATCCAAGGTCTAACAAAAAAAGATTCTCTCAAGTAATTATATCAGGTTCCTCATAAACTCATGGAGAATTATTTGTCTAACTGATGATTTGTTAATGTCCTATCCTGAGTATTTCACTAATCGATTTCATAATTTCATCTTTGTAATTTTCTGTGTTAATTTTCTTCCTAACCTTTGGTTCCACTAGTGTATTTTTGTTCACTGAGGCTAATTTCACAAGCTCCATCCCTCCTCTTTTAACTTCCCGTTTGTTACATCATGTTTAATATTTAATTTTATGTGAATATTTAATGTTAATGTCATGATTTTTTTTTAAAAACACTTCATGTCAGAAGGTTAAGCCAAGTGAGACTAAAGGAAATGGAGCTTTACTCAAATATTCTGTCTTTTTCCAAAATAAGTTTACATTTTCATGCACTCTACTTTATGAATAATGTTCGATAAAAAACTCTACTCTTAACTTTATTCATTATTTAAAATTATCATTCATGTAAGATCCCATCAGTATCAAGAGTCTTTGTGTCCACATATAAATCTATGTGAAATACAAAACTCTCTTTTCTCTAGTATGGCATCACTTTTTACCTCTCAAGGTACAGCGAAAGTTTGTCAAAGTTAAATTGTTTTCAATTCAATTCAATTTTAAAGTAAACTGATAATTGCCAATGGACACTTAGTTTTTTTTTTATCAACAAACAAATAGTTTCCATATAAGGTAAAATGTGGATTCTGTGCTTTAGAGTACCTGTAGTAATTGAGTTGTATTTCCAGCGTCTAGCCGCTTGTCTGGAGTCCAAACTTCCCTATCTAAAACTAGCTAGTGATCTAGTGGACTGATGAAAAAGACGAAACAAAATAAATGGACATTCACTGAGGATACCATCAAGCAGGCATTACATGTCAGACAGGCCATCAAGTGGAACTGAAATAGGAGAAGACTGAGCTAGGCACGAGTCTGAAGATGACATGGTTGTGATCATGTGAAAACAGGAAATGAAAGCTTACAGCAAGTTGATGCAGTCGATGAAAGAGGGCCACAGAAAATAGAGTGAAACAGAGATGTGCTTATGAAGGCCTATGTTCTACTCGGAACCGAATGGAGTAATAAGAATAGTGAAGTGAATTAAATTCCCAAATGAATATCTATGCTCTTAGTTCCCCTTACGTCATAATAATAACAATAATAATAATAATAATTCAAAGTAGACTTACTTCCTTTGATCAAGGTAGAATGTACAAGTAGCATAATTGCCAAATATGTAGATAATTTGAACATTGCCTATGTAAATTAATAGTTATAATATAAGAAATTAGACAAACGTATTTCAATTTATTTGTCATAATACACTAATATTTATAGGCTTCTGTAAAAAGTACATGAGCTTGTTGACCAACCAATACACGTGATACACTACACCAAATTTGTACAACTTATATGTATATGTATATTTTCCATATTCTTAATATCGAAACATCATCTTCAGTGAAACTATTTTTTTTTAATTTAACAATTTTCTTAACCTATAAATTGTACTATAGGCAAGTAAATATAAGAGATATTAGTTTCATTATTTGAAAGACAAGCATTTTTATGTTTTATTTATCATTAGTTTTAATGCAGTGTGAATTTTTCACGCAATCAAATAAGGAAAAATAAGAAGACAGATGAAATGAAGTCTTCAGTTTTCACTCTCTATGCGCACTAATCTCTGTTCTCAAATCTAGCCAATGGATTGTGTTGCATATTAGACTAATAATATATGAGCAGTATAAACCATTTTTTTTTATCGTTTGTTCTCTAATGAAGGCATTTTAAAACAATCTGTTGTATTGTGAACTGACTAACTAAATCAAGATAGAATACTTCAGAGACTTAGCAAGCCATAGGAAGCATTGTTAACAGGCTTTCAGATCTTTCATCAATGGCTTCCTTCGCTCAGTATTACAGATTACATTGACAATAGAAAATGATTAGAAACAAGACATTCTAGCAACGAATTAAGAAAGGCCGCCTTCTTGGCTACAAGCAGTATGGAACCACCTAGACTAAAACCCAAGACCTACCGGTCACTTGACGAGCTCGTCTTAAACTATGATGAGGCGAATGTCCAGTACTCTCGGGTTTTACAGTGGTCTTCCAACCGATGACATCTCATTATGAAACACTATAATCAGTCAAATCGAATTCCTTCAAACCAACACTTGTAAAGTACTTGTTGCCTAGTAAATATGTGGAAAGCAATGGAGATAGATGGATCTGATATAAGAATAGAAATTGGACATTGTAGTAAAGTATAATTCCATCACAGAATAAATTTATTTGATATAATTGTTAACAAGAAATGATTTTCGAAACGTCATCAGTAAACAGTACTTTATCAAACAAATGTATCCATTGATTTACTAGATGGATTGCAGATATACTGTGGACACAAATCCTCGAGTGAACAAGGCAGGAATAAAAGTGTCATTCAAACCAACCATAAACTCAATTATAAAGAAACTTTGTCGGTTAAAGGATCAATTCTATGAAGCCTTTAAAACTAAAAAAATTAGTTTATCTAATACCCTGCCTGTAATGATTGTCAGGTCAAATACATAGATCAAACTAGTAGAACAGGGACAGTCAGTCAGACGAGCCGAACGTAAAAACCTAGCAGCGAAATCTAGATTAGTTGACCCGAATAAGATAACAAATCTAGAGAATAGTTCAGCTATGCCACTCACTACACGCAGTTACACACAACCATACATTATAGGATGATGGGATAAGATGACAGTTATAAAATCTACTGTCACAGCTGGGTGGAGGGAGAGACTGATAACGGAAGCTTTGTTTATCAAATCAATTGACGGGGAATACGTGTAATAGGAATGATTCAACACCTGTCCAGTCGGATATCTTATAAATTCTACTACCCCGACGACGACAAATAGGAGAAGACAAAGAAAACTATAAAACTCAAGTTTCGAAGTCGTGTGATTATAGCTGATATGATTATGAACAACAAATTTTGTTCGAAACCTAGTCATCCAGTAAATAATACTGTTTCACTGTCTGTGTGATACATCTAATAAACAAACTAATATGGAATCCTCGAGTAAGCCCCTATAGGGAGGCAACGACTTGGGTATCCAAGAATGGCATAAAAGAGAACATGTGCTAAGTTGTATAGTCATCCAGATGTGACAGGAGATAATAGTGAAGCCGTCCTTATGTTTGATTTGGAATCCAAGAGATAAATAATAATAAACCAAGATGGTAGGGTCTCTCGCCAATAATGTGAATTAGAGGCATAAATTTTCACATAACTCGTAATATGTCAAGGTGAAAGCTATAGAAATACCCAAAATCTGTTGCATGCATTTTCTGAATACTCTGATAACTCTAAAAGGTGAACTTCATTCACTTGTGAATTGTTTTTTAATGTTACAACCAAGATATTATGACCTGGTTAATGTTAACGTGGGAACATTACGAAAATATCAACTTCAAAAAAAAAACAATTTTAACATGTTACCTTACACATTCGCGCTTGTAATGTCATATAATTACGAAAAATGCTCACTAACTATGCATCTAGTCCACATTCTGATCCCCAGCCAACGCACTCCTCAACCTAGTTTATAAGGTAGTAAGTCCAGCGAAGACGGAATGTCGGGTATGAGGCTAGCAACATCACCGAGTAAAAGAACATCACTGCTACTAAAACTTCAAAGCTAAAAGCGTGAAGCTGCAAGTTACACTTGGAACTCAAAGCAATAAAGTAAGTAATAATGTTACTATTTGTCCTACTAGAATTCTACTCTTGTAATACTAATAGATGTGCATCTGCGGCACAGCGGTAGAATGCTCACCGACCACGCATGTGGTCCGGGATTCGATACCAGGTCTACAGCACTCGTTTGCCTCGCTAAGCAAATAGAAAGACTGGTAAAGATGGAAGGTTGGACATGACACTAGCAACCCCATCCTGTAAAAATAATTACCACTGCTACCGAAGCTTCAAGCCTCTAGCTTAAAAGCCTATGTTCTACTAGGAACATAAAGGAATAAAGAATGCTAATGGATTTTACATAAACACACATCAAATGAGGAGTAGAAATACATGAAATTAGCAATTAATATAATCAATACAAAACTTTTACAACATTAACTAATTTTCTGGTAAACTAAAAGTTTTTTAACATGTTAAATTAATCAAAAATTGAAATTCACACATTCTCCCCTAATCATGAATACTCACAGAACTTGAAATAGAGTAAAGTGGACTTAAGAAAAAGACTTGATACTCTGAATTAAAACTCTTATCTCAACTATGTTCCTCAGGTTTAAAGTTAAGAATCCTTGCAGCTTAAATACACATGCTTTATTGAATCAAACACAATTCTTTGCTTTCATATGATACTGTGTATTTCATTTGCCAACGAATTGTGACATTTATGCATTAGATAGATCATAGGAAGAAATATCGAAAATTCATTATTTACCAAAGCTAAGTTGTGGTTAAGAATTTCACTACAAGGAACATTCTCTTCTAGGTGTGTCAGCCGAGGAATTTTCAAGCATATAGTGAAAGTTGAAACACCTGCTTCATAGGGCTCTAAATTGAAAGTGAAGTTCATAAGCTATAGTTGCGTGAAAAAATAGAGTTGTTCCTTTATGTGTAGGTGACACACTGGTAATTAACCTTTCATCTTAAGTCTAATATTCTTTAGTGTGTAAAAATCATAATAAAACAGATTGTTTCTAATATTTCGAAAGCTCAGTTATTATATGTGTAAAGCCTAAATTATACGGTGCTTTACAATAACATATTATAAAACACAACATAATCGAGCAAAGAATAGATATCTGCTATAATAACATATTAGACTACTTATTATTCACGTCACACGGTGAAATTTTGTTATTTACCAGATGATGTTTCCAATACAATTCTATATCCGGGGAGAGATCAGCACGAGTGAAACCTATAAAATACAGCCAAGGGAACCCAATTACCAAGGAAGATGAAACAGACTAAACAATGGGCGGATCACTTCAAAGGACTCTTAAACCCACCATCACCTGCAACCCATCCAGAAATACTAACAACGAAAGCTGAAGTCTTGAATGCAATCAAGCTTCTGAAAGCTGAAAAAGCAGCTGGACCAAATGGAGTACCCCCTGAAGCACTGAAAGCGGACCCAGAGACGACAGCACATATGCTGACTCCATTATTGCAGAACGCCTGGAAAGAGGAAAAGGTGCCTACTGACTAGAGGAAAGGTTACCTCGTGAAACTAACAAAGAAGAGCAACTTAGGACTCTGCAAGAACTGGCGAGGAATCATGCTCCTGTCGACGCCAAGCAAAATCCTGAGTTGCATCATCCTGGAGAGAATAAAGGACGCACTGGATACAGAACTCCGATCAGAACAAGCTGGATTCAGGAAAGGCAAATCATGTGCTGATCAAATTGCAACTCTACGCATTATCATCACAGAACAAAGCATGGAATGGCAATCAAACCTCTACCTCAACTTTATAGACTTTGAGAAGGCCTTCGACAGCGTTGACCGCGAAGTAATTTGGAAACTACTCGAGTACTATGGCGTACCCCAAATATTCATCGACCTTATTCAACAGCTGTACGACAACGGCACATGTCAAGTGATCCACAACGGAAAACTCAGAGAGGCGTTTGGAGTAAACACAGGAGTCAGACAAGGGTGCTTATTATTACCAATGACGTTCCTAATTGTGGTGGACCGACTGGATTATGCTTCAGACAGTGGAAAACGAGAAGACAGCGATATCCTGGACCTACATACGTGAAGAACCTAGAAGACCTGGATTTCGCGAGTGGATGATTTATGATTGATGTCACACAAAATCGAAGACTTAGAAGCGAAAACCGATAAACTGATTGAAGAAGCAGCCGGCGAAGACAGGACTCCAGGTGAACATAGACAAGACGGAGGTTATGAAAATAACCAATCAACAACAGCAACAGCAGATATCCGGAGCCACTCACCATCAAAAGGAGCAATATGAAAGAGGTTACTTCATTCACTTATCTAGGGAGCATTGTCTCAACTACAGCCAGTCGGAACGGACGAGAATGTCGAATCAAGCAAGAATCGGGAAGGTAAGAAACGCATTCATCAACCTGAAACCAATCTGGAAATCATCGTCACTCAGTCAGCATCAACAACAAAATTCGGATTTTCAATACAAACAACGTCAAGTCAGTCAGTTCTTCTATACGGAACAGATCAGAAACTTGGCGGG